CTTGCGAAAGAATTCGTCCAGGGTAGTACTGCCACTGCGTGCTGTTGAAATTACAAGCAAATAAGACTTGTCAACTTATGTCTCAGGGTGACGGGCGCATTGGCAGTTCCCCAGTGCTCTTTAGATCTTTGTGATTTAAAGCTCTGAGTGGCACTGCAACTGTTATAGCCAGCGTGTGGCTTACCACCAGCCGCACAACTTTTACTTTAGAACTATATTGACTTTGAATAGAATATTGCCAACTTGACTGCGCTATCCGTAGTCGCGTAGAGATCTTTCCTCGTACAAGTATTTTACGACCTGCGTGGTCTAGTGGCACACCGGTTTTCATGGTGTCGCCATCCCTGAGGTCTCTGGTTCGAGTCCCAGCCGGGTCAATGTAGAAAAACTAGCTTTTCTATTGTCACGGGTGTTTGTGATGCTGTCGTAGTTTCCGATTGTCATAATGTTGAATAATAAACAAACTTTAGAAACGAACCCGGAACATCAGGCACCACGTCGTGAGTATATATTTTCAAACAAATAAAAGAATTACAAAATCGGGCTGTAATTGATGGAGAAATCGATATATACACGTGCCTATAAAATTTGAGGATTTCGCTCGATTTCTATGGGATCCCCATGTCAGATTCTGACTTGGTGACAATGGGACCACCATGAGAGTGCACCCTTTCAAACAAAAAAAGAATTTTCAATATCGGTCCACAAATGACGTAGTAATTTGAAAACATACGTATAACATACACACTCCTTCTTGAAATCGGTTAATTAAATAATACACTTTATAACATAGTAAATATTGTTATACGAATGACACATGAAAAAGTGAACAAACGGTAACCTGGATACTAACTTCTCATACCTGTATGACACATAACACAGGTGCTTTAGTTACTTTGAGATCAGAGCAACGTGTGTCATGTTGTCTAATATTTATTTATTACCTATTTTTGCCGCCAAGGAGTATTGTAAGCGTTACTGCGTTCCGGTTTTATGGACTGGCGTGTCGCTTACACTGTACATAGAACTGCCTCCGTGGCCGAACGGAGTTTGGGTGAGTTTGGGTGTAATTTGTGGTTGTCTATATGTGTGGCCATGGCACCCGCGACTCAGGGTTTCCCTAGTGCGGGGCTATGTTGATGGTGTGCGTTATTATTAAAAAAAACTTGGCCCACGACTTGTTCGTCCTGTCACATGGTATCATTAAAAAAATGCGTATTAGGATACACGAGGCATACGAGCAAGTGCCGCATGATCTGTGTTGGGGCACCTCAGTCGCAACGGGTTAAATTTAGTATGCCTGAACACCCCTTTTGCACATCTTGTCTCTGTAGCGACCTACCTTGATGCGATTCGATTTAAGAACTTCCCGTTTTCAATTAATGGTGATCACTATAGATCAACACGTCAATCTCACAAAGGCGTTTAAACAGTGCGTTCTACGAGTTATGTCCTACGGAGTCGAGACGTGGTCACTAATAACTGGCCTTATCCACCAATTTAAAGTCGAATCTCTAATGAAATCATGCGTCAGAGAACTAAAGTGACTGACATAGCTCGTAAAATCAATCCAGACATGGGAGAAAGATGGCTGGCTGCGGCTGGATTTGGGCGGCACAGGTTCGGGAGAGTTGACGTGCTCAACGGGTGACTTATGTCAAGTAGTAGACGCGTTTAAACTGATGATGACAATAGACCAACTACTAGTTCTTAGGGACCTGACCACCAGATTAGGGACCATTTAGATGAAGCCTAAAGATATGTAAAATTGTGGAACAAGATGCATTACTAGTGGCATACCACGGATACGGCATTATATTCTGGGGTAGTAATATAATGTCAAACGCAGTACGGACGTATTGATTGCCCAAAAAAGGATGTGTTCGGGCGATTTGAGAATTATGCTGTATGGATAGTTGTATACCACAGTTTCAACAGCTGAGACTGTTAACAATTCTTTCTATAAATATATTTGAAACAGTTCTTTTTGTTCGGCAAAATTACTATTCAATAAAGTGAAACGTGCACGAAGACACAATAAAATGAAACTGGTTTCCTGTAAGAGTACCCTCATTTATCCGCTCACGCGATGCGCTCCTCCAGCCGCAAAATGGCGGCTATTTGGTTTAGCAAATTAGAAAAGCATTCAGTTTAAAAACAAGTTTTTATAAATAAAAGTTATTATTCTGCATTGCTAAATAAATACCCTCCGTACTACCAACAAAAACGTCTCAAATAAAATGCAGTAATACACCGCAAATCCTGCACTTAAAAAGCACTAATGAAATTTTTGGTATACTTTGATAAATATGATACTATTCCGTTTGAGTGGTTCTAACGTTTACCATGAAATTACTCCTTAAAGTATAGTTTATAAACATTTATATTCAGGGTAAACTTAAAAAACGCTACTTACGGTATGTTTTCAATAAATAAACACCGAAATCAACACACGATTGTCGTGACGTATTTTTGAAGTTGTTTATTTTTTATTTTTTTTTTCTTCTTTCCATAAAGGAAAAGGCAAAGGTTTTACACCATACAGCCAAGTCTTAGTACATTATTAAGTCTTTTGAGCCATGTCTTCGTTTAACCATGTTTCTGTAAATATGGCCGCCACAAAGGGGATAGGCAATTTGAGGCGGCGTGCTTGGATTGACTCGGGATTCCTTAGAACGGGCCGATACGGGTATTTTAGTTCGAGATTCGTATAATTTCGCGTTTTAATCTTCGATTAAGGCACAATAGCACTATCCTATTCCACTTTAAACTAGATTTCACAAAATAATTGAAAGTCAAAATAAAAACGACACTTTTCCCTCCAAAAGGCCCAGAGCGAATATTTTTTTTTTTAATTACAGACCCAGGCATTAAAAACTTTATGGTTTGCTAGAGTAGTTACTGAAATAGCAATTAATATTAGTTCTTTTACCTGTTATAACTTCGATATCCGATAAATCGGTATAAAATCATCACCGGCACCTCTAGGTGTGGTATCGCGTCAGCGGTTATGAAAATATTTGTGCGATGGCGCCAAAATTGCACAATAAGCTGCCAAATCACATCCAGATTTGACATTTTGTAATTAAAACTATACTGTTAAAATGCCATAAAATTGGCAATATGTACTGACACAACAATGATATATAAGACCTTCTAGATGCACGTACACAATAAATGATTTGATATGATTTTACATAAAAATTTGAATTCTACACTCTTTGTTTATTAACACGTATATGTTCCAAGTTTTTTATCTCTGCGGTATGGATGACACACACACTCATACACCGGACAATATGTACCTACCGTTTATGTGATGCGCTTCGCAAGGCGAAGGGAGGTCTTGCGGGACGGGAATCATTACGTTACGTCACAGTTTCAATTCGTGTGGCTTAGTATATATACAAAGAGATAGCCAGTTCACACCGTATTTCTTGCCGTTTTCTTTCTTGAGGCTGTTAGACACAAGTTTGTACTTTCGTTCGCTGTCACTGAAGTTCATACGATGTTATCCTTCCGCATTTTAGTTTTGTTTTCATTGATGGTTGTATGTAATTGTCGGCAAAGTGTCGATATAGCTGGACCAACGGGAGATGATGCTTTTTCAAAATGCAACAGCGGTGGTGAAAGAGATGAGAATTATAAACACCCTTTGGGACATCTTGACGACTACAAACTGAACTATGAGGATATAGACAGTTTGACATCTGTTATTATCCATTTCCGGAATATGCAGCTAGAGACCAAAGCTGTGAAGAACGCTGGTACGTTATTGTATTATTCAATCGCTTTTAGCTATTTATTAAAATCTTGCAATTTATACATGTATAGCAGTGGAGATTCCTGTGTAAGAGTTCGTCCAGGTTAGTACTGTAGTCTAGGCTCTACTCTATGAGTAGAAGTACTGGCTGAATTAATATAGATTTGTGTTTAGAATGTATTTAAAGAAATAGGATAGAAAAAAGAAGAACATCTTGAATATTCGCTTTCGTCGCTGACTTATCTAAACTATAAAAATAACTTGTCAGCGATTTGTTAGGCCCCTGTCGCCAATAATAAAACTCTCGGGCGTAATCTATCTGTGAGGGAAATTCCTCTTTTAGCTTCCGGGCAGTGTGTGGCTAGTCTATAGTAAAGGCTGATCACTTATGTAAATTGCCTATCATAGGTAGGGCGCCAGCTAGGGATGTTCACCCCTTCAGTTGTGAGGAAGAGGGATGTAGTCTAGGCTCTACTGAATGGCTCTATGAGTAGAAGTACTGGCTGAATGATTATAGATTTGTGTTTAGAATGTATTTAAAACAATAGGATATGTACGGTTTACAACCGCACATTTTTCTTCCGCTTACCTTGCGCTCTACTTTGTGCCCTACTGTCCGTGGCCTACTGTCCGTGGCTTACATACATTACATGGACACATAAGTAGGCAAGTAATTTTAGTGTTAAACGAGCATTCACTTCATCTAGACATCTTGAGTGTTTAACGAACATTCATATGTCTTAACGTAACAACAACGTAAGAGATACACATCCTCAACGAGCCTTGTATCTTCTTACTTTATTAATAAACTTTATACTTTTATCATCTATCAATTTAAACAATTAGGCGTCAATACTATAGCGTAGTATTGGCCCCTACGGGATAGAAAAAAGGAGAACATCTTGGCAGATCTAAAAGGAGCCTCCATGAGTGAATATGTGAAAAACACAATAAATATCTAGTTATGAAGATAATCCCAGTTATATTTATAAAGTACCTCTCGTTACGCGACTTGAGCTACGTCCTAGGCTACAGTACTGTGTAGTACCTAACCTTATCTATTTCTGCTGCCAAGCAGAACGGTAAAGATGTTGGTGAAATTACAGGCACATGGAACTTGTCAACTTATGTCTCAG